TGTTCAGAGCAGAGCTAAAATGAAGTACAAAATTCATCCCTGCTCTCAAACGGCTCATAATCTAGCAGGCAGATCAGGTGAATACATATCTGAGATGATCTGCAAGAGCTTTTGCACAGGGCTTCAAACTTCTCTGTGCAGAAATCCCCTGAGGATCTTGGAAATATGCAGGCTCTGTGCCCAGAGATTCTGATTCAGTTGGTCTGATGCAGGGACTGGTAACCTGCACTTTAACACCTTCACCAAGTAATACTGAGCGTGCTAGTGGTTAGACTACGTCTTAAGAAAATTAGGATGTCTGCAGTTTTCCACACTCAGTCCAGAGGAGGTAGAAATGCACTGGCTGGAGACCCCAGCAAGGCAGGCAAGCCCTGCCATCCTTATTCTTTGTACCTTGTCACCTAATAAGATGATTTCTGTAGAAGAGACTGAAGGAGCCCCTCCCTGTCCCAAGGGTGTGGGTACCCCAGACTCTTGTCTCTGTGAAGGGCCGTACCCATCATGCTCTGGTCCTGGTGACCAAGGGTGCTCAGGATAATGGAGCAACCAACCAGAGAGGTCACCAGGCCTAAGAACTTTCTACATAGAGGGCACCTATCAGAGGCACTGTGGGGGCCACAGGCCCACAGCACCCAGGAACCATGGTGGGAAGAGGCTGCTTCCAGTGGGTGGCCACGAAGGACGACGGGTCGACTTCTTTCAGCGGTACACCTTCTGCCTGGTCGTTTGCTTGTCGGGCTTCCTGGGGCTCCCGTGAGCTGCTGCGGGCGGCGGAGAGGGCAGGGAGGGAAGGTGATGGCTGCAGTGGTCAGCTCTGCCCACGTGCTGACTGCTGATGAAGCGTGATACTGTTCTTTGTAGGGGTGGACATAAAGCCGGTCACTCCAGATTCTAAACAGAGTGCGCAGGAGAGGAGGCACTGGCGCTGCTTCGGCGACGAGGATGGGTCAGTCCGTCCCAACCAGTGCTAAGGAGGGACACTGTCCAGCCTGAGGGGAGGCATACCCCACCCTGAGGCCCCCACCCCCACCCCCCAGTCGGAGGGGACTCTCCAGCCTGAGAGGCGAAACATGATCAAGCCCAGGGCAGTCTCCAGTGTGAGGGGGTAGACACGACCCTAGCCTCAGAAGCCCCTATTCTAAGGCGAGGAGCCC